CAAGGACTTAGTCTTGTAGCTGCTCACAACACAGCCCTGAATTAACTTCTAAGACCAGAGCTTGAAGGCAGTAAACAACTTTAACCTTTTCTCAGCCCCAGACACATCTCACAAACAGGAGTTCAGTAAATGCATAAAGATCTCTTTAACACATGTGCAGACATTCTAAGAACTAATTCATTCTTCACCTTCTGAGTTTTAAGAAAATTTTTATACTAAGAAATGGGCAAGTGTTACAGCACTTGTGCCAAAGAGCCATCAGATAAGGCTGGTCCTCTGCTGAGCCTTACTCTTATGAAAGGCGAGCACCAGAGAGAACATCATACAGAAAAGCAGAAATGAGAAAGACCTGTGATCCTAGCAGAATGAGTCCTGGCAGCTGTGAGGCCCGTCAGGTCATCTTGAAGAACAAGCAGGCTACAGAGCTCCAGCAAATACATCATCTTCCAACTAGATTGCCGTGGCAGCAGTATATCGGACTTGATCTTCTAACATTTGTGCCTTCCAGCATCAGGCTCCTATCCAGAGCTTAGGATTCAGAGGGAAGTCCTAGAAGATGGAGAATTTCCTCATCTTTAAAACCCTGGAGTCACTTACCTAAGTACCTGCAAGGACGTGACTGTAAGTACTGTAAAGTCCTATGATTTTATCAAAATATTTGGAGCATCTATTTAAAGTTCTAACTTGGGAATCACAGTTTCATGCTAATATGCTTTCACCTTTTTCTTATAGGAACTTTGAGTCTTCCTGGTGAGGTAAAAACATTAATTCTTGAAGATCAACCAGAGAAAAATAAAACTAATTTCTTCACATCCAGCATTTTATTTTAAAAAAATAATTCTTCATTTGATCTAATAAAGAGTGAGGACTCACAACTTTGGAAGTTTTGGGACTACCAGTATGGAAAGCAGTTGTTCTGTCAGCACATACTGGATCTGCTCAAGGATTCCTCCTGGATTCAAGGAATTATGAAACCTATTTTGTCAATAGGCTTCTCCATATCACACAGGACCTCACACAATCAATCAATACTTAACTTCCATACTGCATATTGCTCCCAGAGAGGGACAGAATTCCTCATATCAGTTATCCTGTCTCAAAGCGAATCCGCAGCCTGTTGCACCTCTTTTGACTAAGGCAGCTATGTATATGCCGCCTGGATCCGGCCCAGATGCTTTATTTCTATTGCATGAGATGATTAATTATGTGGTTTCTTTCTGTTTGTCTGATAGAGGCTGAGGTAAGGGAGTGATGGTTGCTTAGTGCACTATTATTAAAAAGCTCCTTTTGATAGCCCTGAACAGGCTTGAGTTGAGTGCCGCAACTAATCATAGAGCTGCTTACTTGGAAATGTAATGCTTGTTAATACTATACTGTACTTTTAGAAGTAAACTCATTTTGATTGGCTAGAGTTTAACTATAATCAGTAATTAAGGGTCAGCCATCCAGTAAACTCATTAGTTTACACCAATTACATTTGGTATAGTAACTAATGATTTCAAGGATCAAGCCATTTATTCCTAAGCTTTCAAAGTATAATTATTGTGTAAATCAGATAGAGTGTAAATCTTTTCCATACGTTTTGGTTGGTAATTGAGAAATAAAATGGTTTCCAAATGTATTCTCTGTCCAGTTTTTGTTCTGCAGTAGATCTCTCTGGGGACTCTTTAAAGTATATGGAAAAGGTGATGTCAACAGAAGTGTACGCTGGGCAAACTGAGACAGCATTAATTAATAGAGATAAAAGAGAAAAGTCGGTCCCTTGCAAATCATGGTCAAGACCTGAACGTGGACATCACACCTTAAATGACAGTTTACAATCCTAAACATGAGTCACGCAGATTGACAAGTACTCAAAATACAAGAGAATTAAAAATCCTGTATGTTTAATATATTGCCTTCCCAATATGCAATCTTTAAGATGGTGTAATCTCTGGAGCATTTTGCTTTGAAGTGTAATATATAGTTCCTCATATCCACATAACATTTTCAACACGTTAAACAAATTAGTCTCTGGTTACAGAAGTTTTTAGACATTTACAAGTTGCTGTTCAAGTAAATTTAATATGTGCCAGCGAAGTTGCTCATGCACTTGTTCAGTTAGAAAAATGCACATTTGGAAGGATTAATAAATAAACCAGCCTTTCCTATCCCTTCAACTTTGGTGTTTATTTGAAAGCAATCTACTTTAAAAAGACATTAATATCCCTAGAATTATTATTAGAATAATTGCTTTTACTCTTCTTGGAACAAACATTTTTTCTTATTTCCCTTCAGCACAGACAGCTTTTGACTCAGATATAAACTTCCTATTATTATTCCCCACTCCCCACCCAAAAATGAAGAATAGGAATTATACACTTTTCACTAAGGAATAATTAATTTGTCTCAAGTATTAGAACAGAGAACTGTAGAATGACTTTGAATGGTAGTCTCTAAGGAGTAGCATTGTTTGTTCTCTTCGGTCTTTAATGAGCTTTAGTAAATGGCCAGGAAAAATTACCTTCCTTCTGTAATATGAGAGAAGCGAAGAATGAAGGAAGCTATAGAATCCCTACGAGAAAAGGGAGCAGCCACACACACACACACACACAGAGCTCCCTGTACCACATCGCTTCCAATGGTTAGTGTTCTCCTATGGAAAGGAGCACTAGAGCTCTATTTTTTCCATTACAGTAAAAACATATAATGTCCCTAATATTTTTGTAGGAGAGAAAAAATTCCTGGATGTCTCCCACATAGTGATGGTGTCTGGCTTGTGTTGGGGCACAACTGCCTATAGCTGAGCTCTGGAAGTTATTCTGGCTTTCCCTGCTTTGGCACTGATTTTGTCCTTTAAGATTCCTTAGGCTATTTTTGCCATATTTCCACCTTTAAAAGCAATTTCCCTTATAGTGCCCCAGCCTGCTGCCCTGTCTTTTAACAGACTTCTTTTCTCTCCACCTCATATTCATTGTCACTCCTATCCAGAATGGTAACTGAGGCAGCAGTTGCAGATGCTTGTTTCAGCAACGGATACGGATCTGTCACCATGGATAACTGAATGTGTTCAGGAATACCTTTTGCTTCCATTTCCTCCAGCCGCCACATACATCCTCACTACCTAGTGCTATAATGTGTCAGTGGTGCTGAGACCATTGCTGCTTTGTGGTATGGGGGAAACTCATTCTCAGCAGCAAAGTCCAAACAGCACATTCTGTGGAACAGGGGCTCTCAGCAATCCATCCAATTGGAGTTGTTCCAGTTTGTATGGAATAATGGAATATTAAATGGATTGCCATGTGTGCTTGCTCTCAAAGCATTACTGAGAGCAAGAAACCTGGGTTCTGTTACCTCTTCCAGGGAATTCTTTGTGTTAAGTATTTATTGGGAAGCCCTGGCAGACATGTGTTCCTCACCCAGGTGAGCGTCCCCATTACAAGGCTGACAAGCCAAGCCCAAGCTTTGCCACTTCAAGAGAGGACTGGGATCACAGTCCTCACATAACAGCTGATAATCTTTTGGGTAGAGTGCTAATTCAGGGGGCAAGAGATTCAAGTTCTATCTGCTTCAGGCAGAGGCTGAATACAAGCCTCTCCTATCTTGGCTAAACTGCACCAGCCAGGAGGCTGAACCACAAAGGCTTGGGAGAGGCAGAAGGGCACAGGAGCAAGGAGAGACGTGCAGAAGTAAGCAGCACTATCAGTCACTATTGTGCGAGAAAAACCTGGCATGGGTGTCCAGTTCCTAGAGAGCTAGCGAGGTAAGTAGGTAAACTCATGGTGTTACAACACCTCAGTCTGACCGTGGCCCTGGATCATGGGAGGTGCTCTCATGGCAGACCTCAGATCACGGACTAGAGTTCAGGGTCATGAGGGATGTGAAGGGAAATGATGAAAGTGGGGAGAGCTGCCTGCACCCATCTGAGACATATAAGGAAAAGATAAAGTAAAAAAGCTGGTGCCACAATAAAAATCATTTCTATCATGGGCCCTCTTCAGTGCAGTTGCTAGAGAAGAATAAATGGAGAAAGATGGCTGAAAGACGGATAGGAGACAGTGAGAACAGGGCTAGTAAGTGAGGCAGAGATGGTGGAAAGAAGAGGACAACAGGAGGACTGGACAAAGAAAAAGGAAAGACTGTGACCAAGACACTTCACCTCGCATTGCCTCAATCTTCCGGCAATAAAAGAATACTAGCAAGAGAATCACAGAGCATTTCAGTAACGTTGAAGTTCATAAACATTTAGGAGACATTTAAGGGCTGTTGATCAGGACTGTGTTAAAAAGCAAGCAGGAAAATTTAAGAGAATGCTCTGACAAGTCTGAAGCACTGCTATCGGGAAAGAAAAAAGGAACAGGACTTATGTGCTTGATTTCGTATGTGTAACTGAGTATTAAAATCCACACCAAGCACACTCAGGCTTTTTAATAGTAGAAAAAATTGGGCCTATTTCAGAGCAGGGAGAACACATGGTTTAAGGCATGCAGCCACTCTTTCTTCAGTAACAACCTACTGTGACTCCTATAATTTATTCCTCCCAAGATTCATTTGAACATCTGCAGTATCATTATTCGAGTTTGTTATACTATTAGCTTTAAAATTTTATAAGCCATACAGTAGGATAGGTGACAAGTTGAAAAGTTAAGGAGGGTTAATTTAGAAGTTTTAAAGCAAAGCTATTTTTGAGTTATACAAGTGCAAAAAAGCATCTGAATCCAAACCTCCATGGTTACATTAAAGTAACTCAGAAACTGCTGAAAGGATTTTCTTCAAACTTCACTCAAGACAAATCCCTCTGGGCTAAGACCAAGCATGAGAATTTAACTCAAAAGGTGATTGTTGTCTGAAGGGAGTTTTCTCTCCCCCCTCTTCCCCTTCCCTCCCCTCCTTTTGCTTGTTTTGTTTTCAGTGTTTTATATATATATAAATACATATATACATAAAAGACCTGAAAAATAAGGGTCTGGAGTGTAACTGTTTCATATCAATTTTATCATTATAATAAGAAAAATGCTGTTTGTAAACTACCTTTTTATTAAAACCAGACCCCCTGCTTTGCCTTTAGCACTCAGTACGCACCTCTAGCAGGCATTTGGTAACGGTGTCACTGAGAGGCTCAACAGTAAAGTATCAAGCTGTACTCTCAGTCCCATCTGCAGCTTCTTTGCATGCCTCAGCAGCTCAGTGCAGCTATAATACTACCCTAAATGGACAACTGAGGATTCCCCTTAACAGGAAGTCTTCGGAGAGCAGAGAGTCAGCAGCTCTGCAGCACTCTTTCCTCCGCTTCCCGTCCCCAGTTCATGGGAGGTGAATCACACTCTGTACCTGTAGGCTGACCCAAACTAGGTTTTGATTTCTCACTGCTCCAGGTTTTGGAAAGCAGAAAGGTAGCTGGTGGTCATGCTTTTCTCAAATCACTATTAACTCAGCATGTCTGGCAATCTCATTCATTCTTCCCCTTTACAGTTGAGTCCAGGGTACTCACCTCCTAGTTGTGCAGTGGTAGGAACCCCTGTAAAGGAAGAACCTGAATAACAAAGGTGGAAACATCTATTTTATTTCTGAAACTCCTTGAAATCAGTCCTCTCTAGTAGGAGCATCATGAGTCCTGGTAGCCTGACATCAGGATTAAAAAGACAAAAGACAGTGGATTTTCACACACACACCTGCGCCGTTTATTTCAATTCTCCCCCACATTTTGTTTTCTACAAATTGTCCCAGAACAGAGAAGAGCCTTTCCCTGCCCCTTCTACCCAGGCTTGTTTCTGATGCTCTGGCAGCACCTCCCACAGTCACTCACTCATTTGTTTGTTTTGCCATTTGCATCTTTTGCCCCCTCCAAAGAGCTGGCTTGCCCAGGGAAATGACAGTAACTTATTTCATTACAAATGCATTTAGAAAGGCATTTCAATTGTTCCTTTTCATTTAGAGCAGCATGCAAATTTGGAACTTGTGTGAAAAACTGAAGGGGAACATGTGGAATAGATTGGCTGAAATAATTCACCACATTTAACCCAGGCAACTCAGATACATGCAGAAACAGCTTCCCTTGCCTATCTTCCATATACATGACCTGGATTAAAAGCTGCTTTGGGCAAGGGCCAACCCATTATCTGTGGCCTTAACACTATGTGGCTTGCAAGCTGTGGCAATACTGTAATACCAAGGGACTTGTTTCAGGACACCCCGATTTTGGAAACAAAATACATGTTTCCTGATGACTACTAACATGGAGTAGTGTGAATTATAGCTGAAAAGGGTATAGGGAGGAGTATCAGGAATCCAGAGTCTTGGGTTCAGTTCTTACTTGTTTTAATTTGGGGGAGGACTACTGTGGCAAAACAAAGAGGCCTTAAAGTTTGTATGAAGATGCAGCAGCTTATAGAGGGATGAGCAGATCCTGGAAGATCCCTGCTGTACCACCCTTCAGAAGGAGGGAAATTTTGGCAACCATTGAAAAAAAATAGAGAAAATGTTAAAAAATACAATCACAATATTTAAATAATCAAAAAGCTTTTCCATTCTTAACTGTCCCATCTGCTCTCCACCACCAAACTTCTGGGGTATCATTTTTCAGTCAGCACTTGGCACTCAGCACTTGAAGCTGCCTGCTGCTATCTCATTCATACAGTTTTTTCATTGCAGGTCAATATTATCTAACTAGGTTCAGATTAAATCTTAATACACTGTTCATCTGGAAAACCCCAACTCCAAGCACACTGAAAAATTGCAAACGTAAACAGTGCAGTTTCCATGGATGACGATGTATTAAAATGTATCCCAAAGGGATGAGCAGCAGGAAAAAGAGGAATGTGAAGTTATGATCATGAAAGAGAATGCCCTTCTTTTTCAGCTGAGAATTTATGTAAGAGTGAGGAGGAAAGTGGCAAAGAGTAGAAAGGGCTGTCTCCACATTGCTGGTTCTGCAGCAAAGAAGATTTTCACATTGCCCATGGTAAAATTAGGCAGAGAAATAGCAGATCTGAATATTGTATAGGAAGATGTGACTGACAAAGAGTTCAGTGCAGTTCAGGGATGGCAAGGTATAATGAAGGCAAATTGAACTAAGAGCTAAAACTGGAAGAGATGAGCTGAAGGAACCTAATATGAAGACATAAGTTTAATTAATAAAGGCAGGCAGAGCAAGCTGAGCAGAGAATACTCATTTAAAATGTCAAAATATATGCTTAATTGTGCCCACTAAGGTAAAAATAAAGGCAAGGTATGTAGACAAAGCATGAAAGTTGAGGGGTGCAAGAGGGGGTTCAAGGATGGGAATACTGAGAAGACCTCAAACTGCAGAGAAGCTCTTCTGGGAGATGACGGCACTGTCTTTAGTGCTTGTTGCTGCCTTCCAAGTACCCTACATACTGTTCCATTAGCAAAAGCGATCACATATTACCTGCTAATCTGTTTAAGCTATGTCAGCCAGATTCATTTCACCTACTGATGAACATGGATATGAGTTAACCAGGCTGGCTTTACTTGTACTGCATTAGGGAATGTTTGCTTGGCCTCTTCTAATGGCAAAGCTATGGGGAGGGACCAAGGGCAAGCTGCAAAATGGGGTGTAGTTTTCAACTAGTAAATAGCCTAACACAGTGCAGGAAATTTGGTCTAGGAGAACAGATGAACATGTAAGACTGGAACGAATCCAGCCATGTGGAAGGATGAAAATTTCTTAAGACTGAATAAGACTGAAGGAAAAACCATCAGCAGTACACAGCGCAAGAAAAGTCCATGTCTCTACACCTTACTGATATGAGTAAGGAACACTTTTAAAGATAAGAGGTGTATATATGTGCTTGGGAGGAACAGCAGTTACTGGTTGGTTAGTAACTAACAGTAACCATAAGAGAAGAGACTTATGATTTTACTGTCTCTGGTCCAAGAGAAAACTGTAATCTATGCTACTTAAGCTCCATGTAGTCAGCATTTGCAAATGCCAAGTAATCAGAAACTTTACCAACGTAAAAGCGAACAAAGTTGAAGAGCACTGCACATCAGGGATAGCTGGAACAATATACAGTGGCTTTCACTTCGGGGTAATAGCTTAATATTTTCCTCCCCATCCTGGCCTACTACTACTAGTAATAATAATGATAAGGGAAATCGGGTAAGGGAAACAAACAGTAAACACAAGTGATGCACAACACAGTTGCTCACCACACACTGACCGATACCCAGCCCAACCTGAGCAGCAATCTGGCCTTCCATGTGACTCTCCCCAGTTTCTATGCTGGGCATGACGTGCTGTGGTATGGAATACCCCTTTGGCTAGTTTGGGTCAGGTGTCGCGTCTGTGCTTCCTCCCAGCTTCCCATGCCCCTCCTCACTGGCAGAGCATAAGAGACTGAGAAGTCCTTGATCAGGGTGAGCAACAACTGAGCAACAACTAAAACATCAGTGTGTTATCAGCACTGTTCTCAGACTAAAGACAAAACTCAGCCCTGCACCAGCTACTGGGAAGGGAACTGAACTATCCCAGCTGAAACCAGGACACCTGTTTCTTTAGGGACTCACATCAAGTGAATTGGTACTGTTAGAAAGCACATCAAAAACTGAGCTCACATACCATTAATTTGCTTCTATTACCCAGGGTGGTTCTGTTCTCCAAGGTGAGTAGATCATGGGAAGTTTTTTTGCTTCAGCTATTGCTATAACAATTCAAAGAGAGGAAACAAGAATTTTGCTTCTAAAAGTGGATATATTTTAGAAACATTAAAATAACATCTTACTGAACCATAGAAATAATTTTTGTAGCCCCTCTGTGGCACTCCCTGTAATTATAGCTAAGAATAATCATGAATCACCTTTTTGTTAGAGAGAGGCAACCCCCTCTGCTTAGTTTAGAGGGACTGCAGCTCTAAACCCTTTGCAATTACTTTTATAACTATCTTCTGTGTTATCATTTAGATTGAGGCTTCTAATATCTGACTCAGTAGGCCTTCTGTTGTTTAGTTCTCTACCATTTATCCCCTTATGTTGGGTCCATGTCATTCACATTTCTGCAAAACTCAGCTGAACCACTAGTGTCCTGTTCATGATACTGGTACTTTGCACTGCACATATTAAGAAGTAGAATTTGCAATCCAAGCCATTCACAGAATATTCTTATACAGCACATAATTTGCCAACAGCTAAATTAATCTTGCTTCACAATATGAGGCTGTGTACATGTGGTTTCTGATACAAAAGGCTCCAGTGAAATCAATGTTACAGGCATCATATTAACTCGGACCCAGCTTTTTCAGGTCCATGAAGCTTAGTCATGTGCCTGCTAATTTAGAACTCAAATGTAAGCAAGAATCTCAGCTCTCCTTTTTAAACAGTGTGAAGTTTCAATCCAATTTACCTTGCATAGATGAAAACATAAATCAGTAGCTGCTTTCCACTGCACATACTAATTTAATGAGCTAGGGATTTGACCACATGTGTATATACACTCTGAAGACCTTTCCCTCTCTACTGCATTAGGTTTGGATACATGCCAGAGAACTATCTACAAGCTAAAAGGAGGAGGGAAAGGCAGTCTGGCCCATGAGTTAGCACCAGGTTCTAGAACAAGGGTGTGAGCCACAGGTCAGGGGTCAAGTGCCATCCATACCCTCCAGCTGAAGATCAGTCGAAGAAAAGCATGTGCTGCTGCAAGCAGCAGCTCATCCCAGACAGCAGCCCCAAGAGGACAATGTGTGGGATCACCATGGCTCAACTGGAGAGGGCTTTTCCACCCCTTCCCTCAGTGAGGAGAGAATCCAGTACAACACAGATGATCTGGAAGGAAACTTCAGGAAGAGCACTCCACCAAAGCTTCCCCATACCTACATTTTGGGTCATTGGCTGATGTACTACAAAACAAAGCACATTTGGGTGTTTTGTCAACGAAACTGTGTAATGACAAATCTGTCAAATGCGAAATGAAGTTGATAATAGAAAGAAGATAAATACTCATGCACAACTATTTATGTTGCATGATTTTTTTTGAACTTAGAAGACCGTGACCTGAAACACAAACTCCAAAACAGCAGTGTCTCTCACCTTCTGTGTCCTCTTTGCCTTGTCTCAAAGACCATTGTCCAGGAGGGGTAAAGCTTTGCACTTATAATTCTCAGACCCCCCATGCATGAGAGTCCATTGACAAACAGCTCATTTTCACTGAACTAGTCTAAACCAATTCTCTTCATGCACTTGTGCAGGGAACATCAAATCTCAAGTTGTGTGAAACAGTGAAAACAGACTTCTTGGTGAAGACATTCTGACCAGATAATCTCAAAAACATGACTTCCAATGCCACATTTGGCTTCACAGAGGAGGATGAGGTAAAGCTGGGGGAAAGCAGAATAAAGCTAATGAATAGGGGTACGGTATAGAAAAACAAAATGCTGCTGGAACATTAATTCATCATTTATTGCAAAAACAGAGATTACAATACACATTCACATAGCTACTGGTCACCTCTGATTAGACTACTCCCTGTCTGCTACCAGAAGAATTAAATCTAGGCCAGACTTTGCTTAGGTGCCAAAGGAAAAAAGGACATTGTATTAACCATCTCTGTGACTCTGAACAACAGAATTAGTAACAATCTTTACACTTGAAATTCACTTTCAAAGTGCATTTAGCTTAGTTTATCAGACCCAGCTTGTTAAAAAATAATAAATCAGAAGTCCTGTGATGTGAGAACAAGTTACACTGAGGAAAGTCAGCACAGCCCCAGCCTGTGGGATGGGAGGGAGGGCCATCTGCTATCAACATCTAGGAAACGTACTTCAGGTGGAAAGCTTCCTTGCAGTCTCAGGCTCAGAGTAACTGAGGTTAGCTCTTAAGCTCTTGTTCTCCCCATAACTCTGGCTCAGAACACCTCAAACGTAGGCCTTGCTGAAGGCCTGATTGTACCTCGTCTAAAGGCAGGTAGATCTTTATGCTGGGGTCTCTTGGTGGACTCATGGCTGAAATCAAAAGACCAGGTCCAAGAATCCCTGCTGTCAGGTCCCAGATCATGGTATTACCAATGCTTGTCCAGCAAACACACAGAGGTTTCCTTCCTTGCAGAAACAATTTGATTCTATTTCTTTCTCTCTCTCAACTATATGGGAGTGTCACTTAGTTTTGCATATTTTCATTATGCAAATTCACACTGGACCCAGCAGTACAAGCATCCCCTTCCTTCTGCTGGTGTTTGGCTTCTGATTAGAAATGGTATCAGAAGGTAAACACAATGCACAGACAGGTTTGCTGTGAAGTAATGAGGCTCTAAAACCATACACCATGCCGTGTTGACACCTCAGAAATGTTTTACCAGGTTAAAACTATTTTTGGTAATTACAAAGAAGCTGAAAGGAAAAGCATCCCCTCGAGCTGACAACATGCATTTTATACAGAAAGAGACAAGATATGAGACCGTGAAAATTGCACAGACACAAACAGTTGAGATGTAACTGAGAGGCAGAAAAATATATTAAAACAATCATTGATTGAGCAACATGGAGAGGATTCTCTCAACAGCAGAAAACAGATTCTCGTGGGTCTCTGAGAAAGCACCACAGATGCCATTCTTGTGACACTACTTAAAACTTCCACCTGAAATTGTAAAGCCACTTCTGGATACTGATGTCTGTCTCTTGATATAGCTATTATTGCTTTTGTTTTCTTTATGGATAGAGAAAACATGTTTCTGGAATGAGTAAGGGACTTCCCTAATGTCAAACAGGAAGTGAGGGGCAAAACCAGAAACAGCCTAGCTCCCCCCAGTCTTTTTCTCTATCTACCCTATTAGCAGATTGTAGAGCCAGAAGAATGATCTCTTCTCTGTGAAGAGGTAGATCTTGCAAGGAAAATAACAAGTTCCACGTGTCTCCCCAGCTGATATTAGCAATAGTGAAAATCTCATTCTGCAGCAAAACTGCCAATGCAGCACTTGTAAAAAACCTCCAAATTCATGTGCAGATCAGAAATTGCCAGCGTGCCTTCAGCAGCTGCAAATACCACACACTGTCAGGGAGTCATCTGAACGCATCAGATCCAACTCGGGGGTAGGCAGCAAAGCCCAGATGGCTCGGTTGTGCACCAAACTCTCATGCCTCATGTGGGGAGAGGTAATGCAAGGTTGAGACCCTGCAGGTTTGTGCAAGCCCCGGGTTAAGATGAGGCACACCAGTGTGGAGCCCCGCCAGCACTCCCGCAGTGCTGGGAAATAGAGAACCCTGACAGGACCTACACACGTGCAAGTGTTTAAATACTCGTTGTTGGGGACTACAGGAAAGCCTACGGTAGACATTTTGCCTTGGGATGTTTTCTCTACTCTATTTCAAAAAAGCAATAAAAATATGTGCTACTCTGAGGGCTATTTCTCTGCTTAACCAGCCCCTTTATTATTACCCAGCTTCTCTCAGAATATACCCTTTCTCCCAACAAGCCTGTACTGCTCCAGGGGGCAAGGCTCAGGTCTCAGGCAGGGGTTGTCAACATGCACATTTTCATTCACCTGACTTCCTTCCACTACAGGTCACACTGAGATGGATTTGAGGGCGTCCATCAGCAGGCCTGGACAAAAAAGACACCTTCAACTGTGTCAGGTAATCCTCATGCACACACCAGCCACAAGGGGCACGAGCTACGCCATCCCCGTGGTGCTGGAAGCACGCAGGGCAATGAAGCTTCCAGGAGTGCTGGTCACCCACATCCCCAGCAGAAACCAGCCGGAGATAGCTTGGAAAGCCAGGCCTTTTCATTCTCCAAAATTAAGACTTTGATTAGATACTGGCACAAGACCAAAACTCCATCTGAAATGCTTTAGACAACCCATCTGCACTCAGTTTGGGAGCCTGAGGAGCGCATGCTCCCTCCCCAAACCCCTGTGGTCCTTCACGAGTCCCCCCACCTCGTGATAAATTTTATAATTATTCAGCCCTTACTACCGACACCGAAATTCATCACTCAAAGCAAGTTAGCTGAGATTCATTAGAGTGAGACATCTAGTAGGCACATGTACTTTATTAGCCTCTTACACCAATAGTTTTAATTAGGTACATATTTCACAGCTCTAGAACTACTCCAGTGAAGGGCTGCTTTTATCTCTTTTATTTACAGTAACAAGCTATCAAACAAATACCACCATAATTAAACTCAGATGAAAAAAAAAGGAGAAAAAGGAAGATGTTTTAGGGTTTCTATTAAAGGGTGACCTACCCAAACCTCAGGTTTGGTAAACCTGAGGGATATTAGGTAATTAATGAACGAAATACTCTGCATCTGAGCAGGATGGTGGGGCAGGGTGGCACCTGGCAGGCCCTTCCTCCATGTCACCTTCAGGTAGGGGAGGAGAGCTCTCCCTTGGATAGATACTGCCGTGATGAGAAAAGTGATTAAAATCCAGAACATATCTAAATTATTAATGAGGAATTTAAATGATGTTATAAAAGAGGGAAATACAGGCGAAAATGTTACACATTCATGGAATTTTTACTCATGCATAATAATAAGTTGAAAACACTTTAGTTATAATGCTTCCTAAATTAAAGGGCGGGGTGGGGGTAGAGACACGATGAGTTTCTCGGGCCCTCCCGCGCCGCCCGCAACTCGGCGATCAAGGGCGCCACCTGCTGGGCGCCGCGGTGCAGCGCGCCTGCTGCCGCCGCCCGGCTCAGATCACCGGCTGCGGGCCGCGGGGGCCCTGCCGTGCCCGTGAGCTCTGCTCCAGCCCGGGGTCGGCGCGCCCCGGGGGCAGTCTCACTAAAGGGCGGGCCCCGCGCAGGGCTGTGGTCTGACTCCTGCTGCCCTACGCTGTGGTTTGCTTTCCCACGTACAGTGCAAAGACAGGTTTTTAACTTCGCAGGTGCTGAGAAAGGAAGTAATCAGGTGAGAAGAGTCCCTTTTTGCTCTCCTGCATACACGGAACCCAACACACCCCCCGGCTGCCTTTGCTGCTGTGCCCTGCCAGCCCTGAGGTAGGCGTGCTCCCTCCCAAAACCCCATCGAGCTGCCTGCTCGTGACTGTGCATCCTTGTGAGCACCAGCAGCAGTTGGTACCAGAGAAAAGGTTTCCCCAGTCAAAGCAGCAAGTGGCATGTACCTCACATAGCTGTATCTTTGTCTAACTCTCTGTGCAGGCTATTCTGTAAAGACTCCCCACACCTAAGTGCTGTTTGTGTGACCTACAGAGTCATGCAACACTTAAGGGCCTCATCTTTACAGCCCTATTTTTTATACAGCTATTTATAGCATCTACCACAAATTCTGGTCATCACTCGCCTCTGCCATGGCAGGGGAAGAAACTTGCAAGCCCAGAAAAGCAGTAGTCACTGGAACACAACCGCAGCCATAAAGTCTCTTGGACCTGCTTGTCGCTCAGGCTGAATTCCCTGGGGACATCTTGTACTTCCAGGTGCCTTTCAGTCCAATAAAGCTGCTTTTGGTAACTCTGCAAAGCAGAGAACCACCAGCTGATTACAGTGGCAGCAAATAAGGCAAGAATAATCCCAGGCCATTCTGGACTGTGAGGTCTATACAAATGCTCTAAGTCCTGCTGAATGCTAACTGGCAGCTAGCACCAATTATCGAGTAATAGGCTCTCCACATGCCCCTTTACTTAATAAGTAGACACAGTCTGCACTCACTTTTGGAGCTCAGTTGTCTCTGGTTGTAACACCAGCTGAATGCTTTGCAGTGGGCTAGCCTCACAGTGACTAAAACTCAGATCGTTATAGTGAAGTCTCAACCAAAAGAAACTGCCACACTCTTCCCAATTGGAGCAGATGAAATAAAGGCTCTTGGACACAGTTCCTACCTAGGAGCCTGCCAGAGCCTAATAATTGCAACATGCTGTGATTCTAAAACAAATGTGTCATGGAGAGACTCCCGGGCTACTTCGGAGGGAGGTAAATTTGCCTGGATGAAGCTCTTCATTAGCACAGTGTTATTCCTTCCACAGCTCCAGCCGCTTCTGGTCCCTTCTCCATGGCACTGCACACAACACATTTGCTATCATGAGGCAAGGATGGCAGCTGTGATCCCTCTGGACAAAGCAGTGACATTCAGATCAGAAACAAAAACCTGTGCTCTCCTCTTTGAAATCTCCAGTGATCATATTCTCATTATTCCTTTGCCTGGACAGCACTGCCTAAAATTTTCAATGAATTTTGGGCACTATTCCTTCACATTCCTGTCACAGGAGAACTCATTCCCTATCTTCAGCTACATGGAGATGCAAACAGGGTTTCAGTGAATGCTCTTGAGCTCCACATTTTCTCCCTAGATCTTCAAAAGAATATGCTGAATGGAAGATAACAGAGAAGATCCCTGTGAAATCATGGTGCAAAAAGAAGTTCCTGCCAAATAATCCAAAAGCATCTGAGATAGTTCCCACAAAAGAAAGCAGCAGGGATTCCTAAAACACAGTTCCCATACATCCTTATTAGGAACGTGACACCATTACTTTCACAGCTAACGCTATGAAAGGCTGCTGAAATGTTCAAAGGAACCTTGGTAGGTTTGCTTTTCTCATTGCAAGACAGAAGTTATCACTAAAGGCCTTATGAAAACTAAGAAAGTTTCACAACCTTGAGTCTCTGAAGGCAGCAGTTACATGCAAGCTGTTGTCCCCAGTTTATATCTTTCAGCTGGTTTACATTCCTGACACTGGGAGGAGGGCACTTGTAGCCAGGTAGTTACCATCAGATTATTGTTTAATGCAGTCAGCTGCATGAGTGCAATGCTGTGACGGAGGCTTCTACATGCATGCAAGTCAGCGAATTCAAAACCACAGTTTCTGCAGCAGCCATGAGTTGCACCCCACCTATTATGGATTTATTATTATAGAGAAGGAGCCATCTCTCTGTGTGCTAGAAGACCAGCTGAAGTTTCAGGCACCCCCCAAAAGGCACGTTAAATTCCAGCCTCTTGGGTTTATTACCATACACTAAACTGATGTGGTCATCTTTACCTAAAATTAGTTTCTTCCTCATTTTAAATCTACATGTGCAGCACAGTGAAGTAATGATGACTGTTCCACACTCCTTCCCCATCACATATTTTGGTTCTATGCCTTGAGCTCCTGTTAAATGTAGTTACCAGGATGGAATTTCCTTTGGTGTTAGTTCTAAAGTACATGTGGGAGGTGAAGAGAACCCACTGACTGCACTAGTTCATTGTGTGAACCAGGCAGTAAATACAGATGTGGAACTCCATATTCATGCCTCAGCATGGGTATCTCTTCAGTGTTGCACCTGCAGGTATTTATATGCTCACACACTGAAATAAATGCAGCAAGTGTGGGTGTGTAGAGCTGCACCTGTGCATGTAATGAGACATTCAGAGAAACACACAAAGTTTTGTTGCAATCCCACTTGACAACATCCTCGTACATTCTGTCCTGCATGTTCAGGAGCCTTATCCCTGCTGCTGAATCTTTCTCTGCACTGGGCTGGAGTGCCCTATGTACCCATCCTCTGCTCTCACCCCAGGAAAAAAAACCCTCCTGTCACTTCCTCACTGCTTTCATTATAAATACCAAATCATGTGAACCATCTGCCTGTACAACTTCTGCTGAGCTTAATGTTGCTGGAACTGAAACTGGGCACAGAAGGCAATATGCACACCCTTTGGGCCTGCTTATTTGCCTGCTTCATAGAGATCATATGGGCTTTCCCTACAAGGCAGCTACTGACTGGCAAGTCCTGCTCTGGCACAGAAATATTTTACATCCTGGGATTGGTATTGAGAGCCCTCTTTCAGACAGTGAAAGGACACAAACCTGAAACCTCATGGTTTATGTGCAGTGTAGAGCCCAGTACTTTGTATATTAAAACCACTATTACATCAGTTAGAGCACAAGGAGTACAGACATTGTCCTCCCTGTTTTTCAGAGGAAGAAACTGAACATAGCATCCAAGCAAATTGCCCAAGTAAGCATCAAACATTAGGCTAAATTTAAGAACATCCCTACTTACCTGGGATTTCAAGCTGTGAAGTAATTTAAAGCTCCTTCAGGCTGAACAATTGTCTGCCAAGATGGGTAGGCATCTCATCATGGGTAACACCTGGACGTTGACTTAGAAACCTTTGGACATTGTGTTGCAGTTCTAACTCCAGCATAAAGACATAAAGTCTGAGCATCTGTACACATTTAAGATAACAGGAACAATAAGAAGTATATTACTCTTGCACACTTTGCAACCAGACTCGGCATTTCCTAATGGCAGCTGTAGAAACAGAAAGCACTGCCTAGTCTTTAGGCCAATGGACTGTGAGTAGAGAAATAAGTCCCACTCCGATTTTTACTCATAACTGGCTAAATCAGTCAATCATTCCATGCATCTATATCACAGATGTTATAATATCTCAAATTACTTCCTTTCACCAAAAAAGAGGTACCCTCTTTGCCCAGCCACAGATTCTGTTCTCTCTTCCCTTCTGATGGATGCTTTGGCAAAAGAGATATTTTTTTTCTGACATCTACTGCATTTGTTATGTTGACATCACAGAGTCAACAAGAATAAGTATTTATACTTCTATTATGCCTTCATTGAACTGAACAAGGTGTTCAACAGGACATTTTAATTACAATCCCACTTCTAACAGCGTGAGTAAAGGTGTTTAAAAAACACAATCAAGCATGAAATAGAACAGTAAACATGCCATTTCAATTACAAAAATATGTGTAAGCACATCCCTGCACAGCACAACATTTGAAGACTGCAAGAAACACTAAAATCCTATCTGCAGCCCTGGGAGGTTTTGTGCACAGGGCTGAAGGAGCCAAAATGCTCTCTCCTCACACTCTTTTGTGCACTTACACTGAATTTTCACTCCAGAGAAAATCTCACAGAATCCCAAATTGACAATTTTTGTACAGATTTCAATGGAGGAAAAGTAGCCATGCGCTTTTGTTTTGCATTGCAGTGTCATGTCAGACACTTGTTCTATTTGGGGAGCTCTTTTTTACTTCCCAGCCCAATGGTGCTGAAATCAAAAAGAAGATGCACTGGCAGATCATTGCATTGTTATCCACCTCCAGCTACCTGTACCATTGCAAAGTGTTCTCCATCAGGAATGCATCATGTTTATAGATACATGTGACCCACCAGAAACTTCTGGACATCTGTGGCCCCTCTGGGCACAGCAGGATACTGGGCTGCCCTGCAAAACGCTATAAATCCCACAGGGTGCCAGGAGGGAGGATTTCATCCCTCTCTCAACACCACTGCACTGTGGAACACAGAGACACTTATTCAAGGAGCTTCTGAGCAAGTAAGTGATGCCTCAATTTGGCAAAGTCCACCCTCTCTCCAGTGAATCAACGCACTCTGCTTAGAATAATACAAGGTTGTCACAGAAGCCTGGCAGTTAAGCCTGACAGTTGTGACAGGCTGCTGTCACTCAGGGCTTTTTGGCATTGTTAGCAAAAGTGAACATAGGTGTTTCCAATGGTTAGGGCTGAAGACAGGACAGGGAGGCCTGTTCTGTCCATGTGGAGGCAAGAATGCAAGGAAAAGGCAGCTGAGATGGGAAGCTCTGATGGTCAGGGTTGGACTCACCAGCTTTCTGCATCCAGAAGGGAATGTGGACACTGCTAGGTGGGACTTTCCTTTGTCCTTCAGGCAAACTGCTCTCTCCAAAGCAGCAGCACAACATCCACCTGCTTCTCCAGCTCTCTGGAAGCACAGATGAAACAGACAGTGAGGCCACACTCATTTTGCTGTCCTAAGTAATTGCCTGCTTGGCCAATGTGTAGAACAAGCTCAGACGGGCAAGTGTCAGAAAGACCTGGGCACAGAACCGTCCCACTAAGCAAAGACTGAAACCTTTTCTTTCCTGCATGTGATACCACAGGGCACTGCAGGAGCAGCTGCCAACACAGTGGCAATATTCACTGGCAATACAGTGAATGCTCTTACCAAAGCATGACCAAACTACTCCAGCCTGTCCTCTGCAGCCCTTAGGGAGACAGTTTCTCCACGCAGCCCCAGTGAGGAGAAAACTGGAACAACTTGCATTTCTGCCATGCAGATTAGGCTTGAGCCAATGCTGGATGCATTAAGTTCCTAAAGACGTCTGGTGATCATAATGTAAAATCTGGTGCTATCTTGTGATCTGGACTGTTATCTTTTCCCTGAACCATACTGTTGTGTTGAACAGGCCATGCGATTGTCCGCAGTATTGAGTCAGGTTCTAGAAAACCTGACCTGGAAGTTACTCTTATTGTGATTTGAAATTAATAACTTTGAATCTGTAAATACAGCAGATAATAAGGTGAAATATATAATTGGTATCTAATAATCTGCCACACATTCATGTAAAAGCATTTAATTGACAAGAAGTTATGCAGGCATCCATAGGTATGTAATAGCACAGCATTAGAAGTTTGAGTGCTATTCTTGGTTTGAAATACACTTTGTTCCTCTCTTTCCAGCCTTTCAGAGCTGAAGGGAGAACTCAGCATATTTTTTCCGTTTCTGGAAGAACCTGTCTTTCTCAAAATGTCAGAGCACCTCATTAGTGGAAGCTTTGGTTAGCTTGTAGATATCTGGCAGAGGTGTTTTGTTGTGCTTGTTTCCACTTCGTTTTTCCCTGCTATTATGAGTAAGTAGAAGTAAAAGCCTAGTTTTCATTGCTTTTAATGGGAGTAGAATCTGCTTTTCCTTCATAGCTATTTTCCATTCTTCTCCTGGCACTACACAGAAATGCACGGGAGGTGAGACACAGCAGAGAGGTGACTTGGCGGGGAGGATTCCAAAGGCCAACACTAAATGCAGATAACATATTTTTTTACTAGTTATGCACATTTACAGTCTCTGACAGAAACTTAAGAGAAGCACTATATGGAGAAGTCATTAACTGAGATTTAAATTTGGGAAATACAGGAAATATGCGGAAACCTAAAATTTAAGGCCCACATTTAACATCTCTCTACTTGAAGCAAATCAGGATATGGGGCAAGCTTGTGAAGTTCACTTATACTAGAAGAAATGAGCATAAGACCTACCTGATTCAAGCATCTTCTCCCTGAATGTACCACTTTTGTTAAAGGAAAGCTGTGCTGCTTTTGCTGTTTTTCAGAACTGTTGGAGACAGTTAAGGTCCTCCCCAGCTTCTGGATAAATCAGGTTCCAACCTCTACAACTGAACAGATTCACAGAAGGTTTCCATGGGTTTCTCACCACCAATTATAACTTGGAGCAAATTAAAAATCGTGATCATAAGTAGTCCTGAATAGTTGAGAGGTAATGATGCATGGGAGGCAAAATATCAGATGAAGAGATAATGTTCAGGGTCAGTTTTAGAAAGCCATATGTTATTATCTGTACATTCAATACAGAAGCAAGCACGGAGCTTGGCATTTTAAAGGTCAGATTTGAAACTGAAGCCATTGTTCAAACAACTTCCTTTGCAATAAGAAGCAGAAACAGCCTAAGTGAAGACAACCTTAGTCTGTCATCCAGCTCCCTGTTTGGCTCCTCTGTTCAATTCAGGAGCAGTCTCAGGACTGGTCTACCTGTGCCTGCCTCCGTACCCCAGGCACATGCATGCCCAGAGGCTGAAGCCTGTGGAGGAGGACTTCCTAACCATAGCTCCTGGGCGTTGCTGAGCTCCAGAGCTGTGGCCTGTGCAGTGAACAGCCAGGACATCATGCACTGCTTTGGGGCTAGGCACCTGGAGCAGCAGCCAAGCTCACAGATGGAGTGGAGAGCACGGACACCAGCTCATCAGCAGGCCCAAGGGTTGCACAAGACCTTGCAGGCATGAAGGCAAAGGAGAGTGAAAAGGAGGTAGCTGAGAGCTGGTGCAACTGCTTTGCAGAGTACAGCCACAACAGGAGCTGTAATCACAGAGAAAACAGTGTCTGTATCTGAAGCTCTACTTCTGCTTGTTGTGTAAATAAAAGAACTATGACTTCATGTCTCACACTTCAAGAGACATAGTCTCAGCCTTGTTTTCTTCCATATCAGAGCTCTAAGAAATCCAAAATGTGTCAGTTTTGGCTTGAGGTTAATCTCTAGGAATAAGTAATGTAACATTTCCAGCTATCTTTTCTCCTCTTTTGGTGGTTTTAATTATACTAATATGCTATGACAATTTAAACAAGACACATCTCAGCTTCTGGCCTGCTCTGTAATGGTTCAGCTGCTACATGTGCTCCAGCATATTTTGCTCAGACAGGCTGCTGCCGGAGGCAGAGGGGAGGCAGAATATTGCCCTTCTGTCATGAGAGGTTTCATTGCTCTGATCATTGTATGTTTGACAGATTCTTTGTCAATGTCAAGTGTCTTTTGTGGTTAAGCCCAGTAAAGCTAAAACAAAAGGTCTCCTGGATATTAGATGTATAGTGACATTACTGAATTCACTTGGAGGCAGTAATTTTTTGTCAGCCTATGAAAAGAAAAATGGAGCTAATGGGAAAACAAAAGGAAGATGCTGGAGTGCCTTTTTAGCTATTTTTGTTTATGTCAGACATAGTGATTGACATCTGGCCCAGAACACCCCTTCAACCATTGAGGCTGGTGTCATGAAACAGAACAAAGAGAAATTGCCAGCCAAGAAAACACCCCTGGCTCAGAAAGCACTGCTTTTTGTTTATTTTCTTTTAAGTGTTTCATTTTCAGTAATCAGTATCATTACACAAAAGTAGTTCACTCACACTCCCCCCTTACTAATTGGACTTTTGAGTTTCCTTCGTGTTTGCTTTCTTCCTGCCCGCTTGAATGGCACCAGAGTGCTGGTTGGGTTGGATGACAGTCTGTCATAACAGTGATGTTTGAGGTTAGTGAAAACTGACGTGAAAAATACAATCCACTGGCCTTTAACTTAAATAGCAGCTCTGGGTTTTGTGGAGTTGGCAGGCAGTGTTTTTAAACCTCTTTCACAGTGAAGGCAGTTACATGTTTTTCTCTGTATCAAGCAGTTCTATCATGAAGTGTGTTATCTACATCTGTTGTCATATCAGGATATTGCCTTTGAAGAACATTTTGCTGTTTCTTGTGTGGCCACTTCTATTGTTGAAGTGCCCTAGAAGGGTTTAATGGAATTTCGTGGTCATTCTCCAGGGCCAGGCCAATCACAAAGCTTTAACATTTATTTAAGAGTGACTTTGGGGAAATATCAGTGACCAGAACAGGTCCTACAGACACACACAAGGAGTCTTTGCCACAAGTGTTCTGCAAGTGCTGTAGAATTTCAGAGACTTGGGGGCAAAATTATCTATCAGCAGGATGAAATTATGGCTTAAATTTCTAAATTCATCTTGAAAGTATGATGCTGAACATAACAGTAACAAAGGAAGACTTTTCACAAGGTGAGAGCAAGGCACTCACTACTCCATCAGCCACTTCCCTCCATTCAGTTATATGCTGAAATCATATCAGAACTTTTACCTTACCAAAAAGATCTTACTCACTTAAAAAATGTAAATACAGTTGGCCCTTGAATGCATCCATCGTGTGCTGGAGCTAAATATGCTTGCACCTTTGTAATAGGGTACCTTTCGGTCTTGAACACTGGGGTATATTCTTCTGCAGGAGCAGCCACTTAACTACCCTCAGCATTAATGGCAGATATGCTTACGCGTTGAGTGGTGAATTTCTCTTTGTCTCTTTGCACAGTGCTCTAAAAAGAACTTTGAAGAAATTGAGAGAAACAGAGAGAGCAGTATATTAATTTGAAGGAGATGAAAGCAGTACATGTCATTCCTAAATTTCATGGAAAATGCACCGTTGGTAACAAAGATGAGTAGAAAATTTCAAAATCATTTTGAGCAGCATTAAAATCAGTCTACCTGATTTTCTGTTTTCTCCTTCTTTTCAAAGCACATACATTAAACTCATTTTATGCTTATAATGTATATAATGATTCTAGACAACATAAGAAGGACACTGGGATTCTTCCTATTTCAACGTATAAAGTGGCAAGCCAATTTATGCAGCTTAAACCATTGCTAAAGAAGATGTATCAAAAATTGCCTGTGATCATTACAAATAACAGCCTGAAATGTTCACAAGAAGCTGTTTGCTTATCATATTTTCATTAAAACATCTTTTCACCTGCCTTGCTTTTCCCATGCCTGTAACCTGCATTGTAATCAGTCTTATTAACTGAGAACATAAATATGATTTATTATGGTCTGATAATGGAAGCTGCATGGACCAAGAGAAGGGATATATTGTCCTTTGATAAAATGGCTCTTTTCTCTCAAATAGAGCTCTATCATGAGAGCATGCAGAATGTAGTGAGTGATTATTTCCTGAGGGTGAATGATGGCAGAACCCTACAGAAAATCTTCTTGTTGGCCATGACAGCATCTGAGTGTCCCCAAATCTCACCGAGTTTGACAACCTGCAGACACTTTTGATGAACTGTATTCTTCTGTCAGAGACAGCCTGTCTGGGAGGAGAAAAGGCAACCTTTATCGTCTGATCTGCTATTATTGTCTTGATCTTTTATAAGCAATCTCTAATGCACATGAATATAATATCCTTTCACACAAGTGCCAACCATAATAGAAATGTAGTTAAAGGACCCTTTTCCCAGTTATGTAAATGTCCTAATACCATAATTAGAAAAGATGGTTTGTGAATGATAGCGGTAAGGAAAGGGTAATCAAAATGCTTTAACATTATCTTTCTGTTTTAAAGACCAAAATCTGTGATAAATAGCATTTATGGCAGATATTGGGAACTGGCTTGTGCTGAAGCTTTTACCTAAAAGAGAATAGTTTTGAGTGTAAAACTGGTGTTATATTTTCATAAAACACATAAATGGCAGCTGGTCTTAAGCCAGGAATGATTACTGGCAGATAGGTCTTAAAGAAAACGAGTATTCCTCTCAAAATCCCTCCACGGCTGTTAGAGAAAGAACAAAGCGTTATTATTAAGTAGTGTATTTGGACAAAGGGGTGTTCAAGACCAACTAAAGTTTGCCAACAAATCTCTCTTTTATCTACATCCAGAAGAACAAGCATAACAAAATCTTTTTCAATTAACAGCTGTACGCATTAGCAAAACACCATCTTTCTCAGCTCAAGCAGCCTGGCTTATTTATCACCAAAAATGCAATGTTTGGGGGGGAAGGTTTCCAAGCTGCCCAGTAAAAGTAAGATACTTGCTTTTTCATTAACCTTTTGACATCTGGAGCTGGGATGTCCCAATATTAACTACTAATGGTCTTTTGCATTACCAGTTGGTGTTGAGAGAAGACCCAATTGTCAGAGTCAAAAGGTTAATCAACAATTTCACACCGGTGATGTGGTCAGAGCTTGCATGAACAGGAGGAAGAAGACAATAATGTCATTAACAGGAAACTACATCCCAACACTATTAAATCTCTCGTGTATTTCCTTTTTTCTTTGTTTTTTTTTTTTTTTTTGTTAGGCAGTATTTCATTATATATTTACTAAATCCTCTGACTTTTTAGGGGACTTTGCAAAACTTTGCTGAGAAGTCTAGGCCCAGATATGTGACCAAATTGTTTGCTTTCTTCTACTTTTCCTAAGGAAATAAATAAATACATGAGTTTTTACTCACCAACTGTTCAGCCCAGGCCAGTGTGTCTTCCATGTCTGTTACCCAAAGAGATTTTAAAATCCCTACCCAACTGGGGCTAATTCAGCCTGACAGTTGTGTCCTGTCTCCTGCAGGCGAGGACACCTGAATGCCCACTCAGCAGGGTCAATTTCATAGTGCAGATGCCATATCAGGGATGAAGTACATCCAATAGCCAATACCTGAGTGTAGACTTTTCCCTCCTGTCCTCTTCTGTCTTGATTGTAGGAAAGAAGTCAACAGCAGCATTCCCTTAACAAATATGTGTAGTGTTATTATTTCATGTGAAAGTACTCATATGAGCAGCCATGCCAATACCTCAGCTGGCATCATTTGACCAGAAATAGCCATAACATACTTTGACTTGTGGCCCAAGAGCTCTCCTAGCCGTAGCAAAACCAGATTTATTTTCCAAAAGAAAAGATAAAATAGTTTTGAAAACATTACAGCTTGGCATTGGCTACCAATAGCAGTGTTCCCACAGAATGACTTCTCATTTACCCTGGCAGTCTGAAATTGTTAACCATTGTTTAGACTTGATCAAAAGCCTTCTGATGTCACCATATGGATCAGGTCAGTTGTTCTATGTTTTTGAGACATTCTATCTTTTTCCTACATCTAAGACAAATAAGCAGTGAATCTTGCCCAAAACAACATCTTGTGTCCTGGATATTTTCTGCACCACATAGTTCCTCTCATCTCTTTCTCCAGTTCCAACAAACTCTAAGGCTAAAATCTTCTCTCCCTTGATTGCTTCAGTTTTAATGGGGACAGGATTTTACCCTGAAATGAAGTATCAATCTTTACAAGTGCCCTATTACTTAGTCTGCCAATTAGATGACTATGGAACCTGAGTGTCCTTGTACATCTTCCCAGTCCCCATACTTGGCTACATATGTTTATGCAATTAGAAGGGGTGAAAATTTAATAAAATTAGGACAAACCTGAGTGAGCTATAATTCTGTTTAATCTCTCAAACTGGATTGTTGAAAGCTTGCTGAATTCCCCAAACCTCTCTCAGGTGCCAACGAATGAGTCAATATCATACCAAACATCTCACTGCATAGCAGATGTAAATTGTACTTCCAGAATCTCATACACACCCTCAAATAATGAATCTAATGTCTCTACAGTAATGTCGGGGGAAGAATGGGGGGGAAGGGGAAAGACAAAAAAAGCTGTTTCCTCCAGTTAACAGCACTGTACTTGGTGGCCCAGAGTGTAAAACAGGAGAATACATGGCAGATTTGCACAGGGAAGGAGTGGTCACTTTAAAGGCCTGTGTCTTCCTACAGCAGTATTAGAGCAATCCCAAGCCTTCTGCCTCCAGGGGGAGGATCGCTGACTACCACACTGGGCTTTGCTAGATCCCCCGGCAAGCCCTGACAAACTGAAAAAGATGGGAGAATGAAGCTTTCTTTCATCTCAATGTGATGCCTCTACAGACTTTGAAAAGCCTGGTTTACACTTTGTTTTGTACTTCAGTGCTAACTGGTAGTTTGCATAGAAATAATCATCAGTCTGGAATAATCCCAGACCACTTCATACCTGTGTCCTCTCATTACCCACCATTCAAGGAAAGGAAGCAAAGAATGATTTTGGCTAAAATTAGAGGGAAATTTTCTTTGAAAGGGAGAATAGAATTACTTAGAGAACATCAGAGTAATTAATAACTCTGTTCTTGGGAGAAAGATCCCAGAATCTTTTGTCTCAAGTTGTGAGGGCTTTGGTTTTGTATCTAAGCCAAACTATTTCTTTGTTGCAGAATGGGGCTCTTCAGTATGAGGAGGAAAATGTAAGGGTTGTGGCACTGAGTCAATAGCTCAGATGAAAATGTTATCTGCAGATCAACCAAGTCCTACTTTTTCTTTCCCCACCTATGTTCATCTTCCTCTTAGACTTAATCTCCAAGTATGTGCCTTGTTTACTCTGTGAGATCTTACAGAATTTCAGCAGGCCAGAAAGGTTTTCTATAATCACACAGCTGAGGTACTGCTCTCACTAATACTCTTCAGGATGCTGAGGTCATAGAAAAGAGCTGGAAGGGATTGTCCAGTACCTGATAGTATTCCCCAGGTTTTTGATTACTCCATCATAGAAATACTCCAGTGATGGAGACCTTGTCATTGCTTCAGTCAATTATCCCAACAGACAACTGTCCTTTCCTAAGTGGCAAATACAGCCTAATAGTGAGAAAGACTGATTGCTTTCTTAGGTACTATATGTTTTGCTCAAACACAACTTAAATGTATTTATGCCTTTCACCTTATTTCTCCTCCATTAATTTCTGTCTCTGCTACCCCTTGCTCGCTGTATTTTTTATTTCATCTTTCTATATGCTGTTTGGCACCCTTGTATTTCTTCTCATTTTTGCATCTTTCCAAACACATGAAAAAGGACTCTCATGTGGCAATGGCCTCACTAGAGACCTATTGTCATCTCCCCAGAGGGGAGCCAAAATGCCACATTTTCATTCATTGCATCAAAACCACTTTTCATAAACAATGAGAAATTATACAGCCATATTCAAATTCAGGTCTAAATGTGTTGTTCTTGACGTGTAACTGAAGAGCATAGCTAGCTATGGGAAGCACATGATCTGCTCTGAACATGCACATGCAGGGGCAGGCATTATATAGCCTCTAAAAAGGGAAATCAGAACTCCTGACAGTCATGCTAACAAATGACTGCTTCCTGCTTACTGCTTTGGTGTTTCAGGTATAGAATTAGTTACAATACAGGTCTGGACCTACAGGTTCAGGAACACCAGATTAAGTGACTTTGTCTCTAATTTATGCCAGGGAAAGTCCTATCAAAAAGAGTTAAGGTGGAGTATCACCATAAGCAGAGAATTGTGCTACTTTTGTTTCCTCAAGTCAGGCCCACTGAATTATCTTAATGTGGATGTAATACGTAAGTACGATAGTGTCCCTGTGGCACTATAGGATGCTTGGCCTAACAGGTATTTGGGGATGCCAAGGTAATCTGCAAGATTCAGTGCAGCTCAGAGACCAGTGTTTCTTCAAAAACAACTGGTTCAACTTATTCTTTCAATTTTTGACAGAAAATTATCAAAGCAGCAACTACCTCTGCCATGGCAGGAAGCAGTATGGTAAATAAAGGGGAGAACTAAGGAAAGCTTACTCTACATTTAAGAGTAGCAAACAAGTTTGTTTTCCAGAACATCTGTTTCACAGCACACTGTTGCTGCAATATAAATGTTTTCAGCTGCACTGTTTTCCTATCTGCTTTGGCCAGGGTCTGTGCTTGAAAGGGCTAAGTGCAGTGGTCTGAAGCAAGACTATTGTGAGCATCTGATAAAGGAGCTGTTTGCGTTAGCCCGGAGGATCTGCTGCAATGAGACCTCAGTCTGTGCCTTTCCATTGAAGGTTCAAACATAAAGTAGGGAAACGAAACTTGGTCTTGGGAGGCAGAGGTTCTTTGTCCCCTGTATGATCTCACACAACATATTTCCTCTCTCCAAGCCTCATTTTTTCCTTGCAATAGGGACTGACAGCTTCCTGTCTTCCCTCTCTGGACTTGTGGCTTTTTTGGCTAGTGGCTGTTCCTGGTTACGGGTAGGTCTGATGACTGTGAGCCTGACCTCCAGGAGGCCTCTGGACACTTCTGTATTATATTTGATAATGAAGCCTCCTGTCTTCTCCAATCAAGACAAAAAAAAGTAAGTCAGAGCAGAGGAAACTGGCTCAGCACAACATGGCAGCCTCAGTAAAGAAAAGTCAGAGGCATTAGCTATTGACTGTTACAGAAACACTGAAACTGCAGCAGGGATTTCTTTTTTTTTCATTGCTATTTAGGGATTTAAATGAGATTTTTAAAAAAGAAAGAAAGACAGAATGTTTAGTCTACACTCACTCCTTGCTGCCAATACAGGCTATCATATAAATTACTTAGACACTTTTAAAAATACATTATTTACTCAATAACCCATAATGGGTCCAGAGCTCCTTTTACACGCTATTATAGAAGTACATAATTGCTGAATTTTCAAATGGATATTTCTTCTAGGCAATAGTCTGTAATGGCTCCTTCAAAGCTCTTAGGCTTTTATCATAGGAAGGCCTAAGTAGAAAATGTTTAGTTCACTGATCATTGACCTAATAGAGAGCAACAGCTTCTCTGGAACAACTATTGTCTGCTAGGGCAGATGATGTATGAATGACATTTAAAGAAATTCTTGGAAGTATGTGCTAGGGAAAAATTACTGTTCATGTGCAAAGCAAATACTGCTGATGAGATCCTCAGAGTTCTTTTGTTCAGTTCTGCTTGATTTAGTGTTTTAGTTTCTGTGTGAGCCCAAGAAAGAAAGGAAACAGTTTTGTGTCTGAAATGAGAGCTCAATCTGGGACCCATTCGGATCAACATGAGATATTTCCATGTTCTTAGAGGTCACTGAGCTCAGTTAAACATTGTCTCAAATGAAAATGCAGGTAATTGGTACACATTACAATGTAAAAAGAGGAATTCTGAGATCAGAGAAGTAAGGGATGCTGCAATGGGGCAAGTCACATTTCTTAAAGTCATACTGAACATAGGAAAATATTCAGGCCTATTCTGAGCTTGTTCCAGAAAGGAAATAGGCAACTTGACAGGTTTTCAGCACTATTACTAGGAAACTTACAATCATTGAGCTGCTGCTCTCTACTTACATTTAGGTTTGAAGTCTGTCGCTTCCATTTCAGACTCAAAGAAAA